GTCGCAAATGAGCTGGAAAAACTCGTCAACAGAGGTGCATTCGTCACAGGATCATGAACGGGCCTTCCGTTGGCATCCTTGTTCGTCCAAGTGGCACTGAAGAGTCGCAAAAGATTGTGACAGGACTGAGAGAAGAAAAGGTCAAAGTCAACAGCGAACAAAAACCGCGCACCTCACGCGCAAACAGAACGGCGCCACAGTGCGTGCAAGTATGATTTGAGGCCCGAAGCCGTCGGTGGTCAGAGGTCGTCCTCCTGATGGGCCGGAGCCCGCGCACGCTATGCAAGTGCGCGCTCGGGCAAGTGCATCTCATTGGGTTTGGGGAAATGCCTCCCTTGGCAGCGTAACGCCGCAGTTCGAGCACGTGGGAAGTGGCAAGCTTTGTTGTTGGTTTTCGGCGGCGCATTCCCGGCAAGCATGATCGCCAGTGCGCAATCGCCTAGTGGCGAAGTCGGAGTGGGTTTGGGCTAGTCCGCAAACGGGGCATGTCAGCGCGGCCGGTGCTGGTTTACCGGGCCGTCCGCGCGGCGGGGGCGCGGACGTCGCAGTCGCGCGCATGGCTTGAGCCGCCCATGCTGCGGACGGTGTCTGAGTTCTTCGCGGGGCTCGTGAGCTCGCAGGGCTCACAAGGCTCATAGGGCGCATAAGGCTCATAGAGCTCATTGAGCTCATAGGACCCACAGGGCCCATAGGACTCATAGGGCTCACAGGGCTCATGTGGCTCATGGGGCACACGAGGCTCATAGGGCTCATAGGGCGCACAGGGTTCATAGGGCTCATAGGACTCATAGGACCCATAGGACTCATATGGGCTCATATGGCTCATCTGGCTGATGGGGCTCATAAGGCTCGTAGGACTCGTAGGGCTCACAGGGCTCATAGGGTTGATAAGGCGTATTGTGCTCATGGGGTTCATAGAGCTCATAAGGGTCATAAGGCTCGCAGGGTCCATAGGGCTCATAGGGTCCATAGGGCTCATAGGGCTCATAAGGGCTCATAAGGCTTATAGGGCTCATAGGACTCATAGGGCTCGCATGGGTCATAGGGCTCGCAGGGTTCCTAGGGCTCAAAGGGCTCACAGGGCCCATAGGGCTCATAGGGCTCGTAGGGATCATAGGGCTCATAGGGCCCATAGGACTCATGGGGCTCATAGGGCTCGTAAGGCTCATAGGGCTCATAATGCTAATAGGGGTCACAAGGCTCATAGGGTTCGTAAGGCTCACAGGGCTCATATGGCTCAGAGGGCCCACAGGACTCATCGGACTCATATGGTTTCTAGGGCTCATAGGGGGCAGAAGGCTCAGAGGGCTCGCGCGGCTCATAGGGCTTACATGGTTCACAGGCCCCTAAGGCTCAAAAAGCTCATAGGGTTCATAAGGTTCCCCCCCTCCTCCCTTTCATCTCCTCCTCTGCTTCCTCCCCCCTCCTCCTCCTCCTCCTCCTCCTCCTCCTCCTCCTCCTCCTCCTCCTCCTCCTCCTCCTCCTCCTCCTCCTCCTCCTCCTCCTCCTCCCTCCTCCTCCTCCTCCTCCTCCTCCTCCTCCTCCTCCTCCTCCTCCTCCTCCTCCTCCTCTCCCTCCTCCTCCTCCTCCTCCTGCTCTTCCCCCTCCTCCGTCCTCCTCCCTCCTCCTCCGTCCCCCCTTTTCCTCCTTTCCCTCCTCCCTCCTGCTCCCAAGAGCTTGGGCCGAAGATAACAAGGAGATAGTGAGAAGAGAAGAGGAGGAGCGGGAAGGAGTTAGGCGGCCGCGGCGCCAGGCGGTCAACACCCGCGCCCACGTGAAGGGGATGCCCTCGTCCTTGCAGACCTTCGGCGCGCGCGGTCGCAAGCAGAACGCCATGGCGAGGTCCCGCAGCCGCAGTGGCGTTCGCGTTGGGGAGAGGGCGCGTTGATCCACTTCAGATGGCGGCGAGCCGCAGGGAAGTTGAGGACGCCCAACTCGGCTGCACCTTCGGACGCGCCAATGTGATAGCGAACGAGGGTGTCCCAGTCGTTGATGCACCACTCTGTTTCCGCAGTTCTGGCAGCCAGCGCGTCAATGAGCCGAAGGCGGTGGCCCCGCGCGCACTTGCACCCAACGCGCAAGATGGGCAGCTTCGTTTTCGACGTTTCAAAGGTGAGGTCGAGAGCGCGCGGCGTTCTGGCGTCGGGTTGCAGCTCGGCCGTGGCGGCTGCGTGCTCGAGCAGACTTTGCAAGCGCGTCGGGCTGCGCGAAAGCGCGTCCAAAAACCAGCGCGCCCCCCACCGGGCGGGAGGTATCCCACCGGGTGTCCTTCACGGGGTACGTGCGGATAGGTGTTGCCACGGCGTCCGCGTTGGCCACTGATGGCTCGGCGGAAGCTGCAGCCAACGCCGCAAGGGCGGCGCAGACAGCGCCGGCGGCGAGGGACGATGCGCAGCAAGGGAAGTCACCAAAGCGCGTCGGATTCGCTGCAGGCTGGGCTGGATCGAAGCGCGTCGTGCGCGTGGAACATGGCAGCGACGTCTGCGCGACGGTTCACGCGAGTCCACACGGACAACGCAGGCGACGCGTCTGGAATAAGGTGGTCCGCGAAGTCTTCGAACTCCGGGCCTGGCCTTCACGGCGGTTCTCTGGCAGGGCCACGAGCATCTCCTCACGACGAATCGGCGCGCAGCCCTGGGCGCGTCTGCGAGGGGAAACAGACGGACTGATGCAGAAGCTTCGGCGCCATCAGTAGCGGGCACAGATGGGCTCGCGTCGGGGGCCGCTGGCGCATCCTCAATGGCTCAGCCTCCAATGTTCGAATTTTCAGAAGAACCCAGGACGTGTCCGTTCGCGGCTGTGGGCGTGGCCCCTGCCAATGTTCGGTCAACCGTTGGAACAAAATGCCCTCGGCTCCCCCGCACGGAATGTCATGGGCGCGGCAGGTGGACAAGAGGACGGCACAAGGCGCAGTGAAAATGGCATCAATGATCGTGGTCAAAGGCGGCACGGCGCCTTCTGAGGATCGATGCTTGCGTTTGGCCGGCGGGCTCATTGCCATGGGGAACTGAACGGAAGCAGAACTCCAAGTCAACGAGATTGGAGCCGAGTGGCTACTGAAGTGAGGCGATCAACGGATGCGCGGGAAAAGAATGAGGAGAGAAACGCACGGGGGGGGAGGGAAATGGAGGGTCGGAGAACGGACGAGGGTGAGCAGTAGTGAAGAGGCGGGGGAGCAGAAACAGCAGGTGAGGAAGTACGAGTGGAAAGTGCAGGAGGACGAGAGGCAGAAAAAGGCAGGAGGTGGAGGAGTAGGAGAGAGGGGGAGAAGGGAGACGAAGCGGTCGACGAGGCCGTGGAAAAGGCGGAAAGACCTCGAACAGGGATGCGCCCCAATCGGGAAGGCCTCGGCGGTGTGCTTTCGCACTGTCCTGCCGCTCGTTCGGCGTGCTGGCCGGAGAAGGTCGGAAAGGGAAAAGCATGCAGGGCTGCGAGCTCGAATCTGCCCTCTCGGGGCTGTCGTAGGGCTCCTTTTGGGGCTCTTTTGGGCCGTCTGGCCGCTACCTGGGCCGTCCCGAGACCGTTTTGGGCTGTCATGGGGGGCTTGGGCCGTCGTGGGGCGATCTTGGGCCCTCTTGGGGGGCCTCCTGTGGCCGTCTTGGGACAATGCTGGGAGCATCTTGGGGTTTTCTGGGGTTTCTTTGGAACCGTTTTGGAATTCTCTCTTGGAGCTCTTTGGGGTCGTTTTGGGGCTCTTTGGGAAACTTTTTGGGTCGTCCTTGGGCGACCTTGGGGACCTTTGGGGCCGTCTCGGAGTCTGCGAAGACCACAGAAGCGAATATGATAAAAATATCAGTTTTCCGATCGAAATGGGAAGATGTTTGCTTCTTGGGGGTCCCTTTGGGGGCCTCCTGGGGCATCTTGGAAGCCTTTGGGGCCGTCTTCAAATCACTTTGGGCCTGTTGCGAGCGTTAATGAGCTGTTCTCGGGCGGTCTTGGGCCGTCTCGAAGATTTGCGAGACCGTCCAGGAAGCGATTTGGGGACCCACTCGGGCGGTGTGGGCTGGTCGGGAAGGGCACCCGGAATTGAAAACGTGCATTTCTCGTCGACAGGAGCGCCCCAGGCCGAATTTATGTATAGGAGGGGTTTTCCTTACAAGAATGTTCGAGAAGAGAGAGAAAGGGAGAGACAGACAGAGACAGAGACAGAGACAGAGACAGAGACAGAGAGAGAGAGAGATGTAGATATATAGAGAGAGGGGGAGATATTTCAACTGACCGTCCTGGGCTTGCACTCAACAATGCCACGCTAGGGAATCAAAGCAAGAGAGCCCTCCCTGAGCCAAGGTGACCAAGCCTGTGCCGCGCACACGGCGGAAAGCAGGCAGAGCCTGACTCCCTGCGCCGCCCGGAGGGGCGGGCGAGTTTGGCGGGCGCTCCCGGAGTTTGGCGGGCGCTCCCGCGGAAGGCTACAGTCGGCCTTGACTGGACAGGACACGCGAGAGGACACAAGACCCTTCCGAGGGCCACCCTGCCACAGGAGTGGAAGCAAAGGCATGGGTCGCGAAACAGAGGACGCAGGGATACCCTTGATCTGGCAGGGTCGACCTACTTATCACGGCCTCGTCCACGACTGACTGTCACGACTGGCTGTCAGATTCGGCGCTGACTCAAGAATGCGGAGAGGGAGGGGGGGTTGGAGAGGGGAAGGGTGAAGGGGCGGGGGGGGGCGGAAAGTGGAGAACAGGACAGGGGAAGGGGCCAAGGGGGAGAGGGCGGGGGACATCTGGGCATAGGCATTGGGGCAAAGTGGAAAAGAAACGGAGGCAGGGGAAAACGAAAGGGGGAGCGAGGATGGGGTGGGGGGCAGAAGGGAAGGGGCAGGTGGGGAACGAGGACGGGAACGGGGAAAGAGGGGTGGGCAGAAGGGGAAGGGCAGGGGGAACGGGAAACGGGGACGGGAACGGGGAAGGGGGACGCCTGGAAGCGGGGGGAAGGGTGAGGAAGGCGGGGGGGGGCGCACGGCAGAGCCGGGAAGAGAGACCACCTCGGCAAGCCGCTTCCGATCGCGCTCGCCCCCCGCTCGCCCATTTTCCCCCAAGGAGGCAGGCCGAGTCCGAGACCGAGCCTACGCAGAACAAGCGGAGGGCCAACAAGAGGTCTGAACAAGTGGGCCCGCGACTCCTGACACGCACGAATCTGAGAAAGCAGCCTGCCAGCTGCGCACAGCGGACGGACCGCCTGGCAGAAGTTGGCGAAGCGGGAACGAATGCGCGCAAGGGCAACTCCTCCCCCGCCTCCTTCCCCTCCCCCTCCTCCTCCCCTCATTTGTCTGATTCTTACTACTTTCACCGATAGGACCACCCTACGGGTGAGAAAAAGGTTTGGGGGGGAAGGAGGAGGCGGTCGATGCGCGATGACTCCCACCTGCCGCCACCAAAGAGTGCGCGGGCAAATAAATACCACCTACTTTCGCTTGCTTCTACCTAACTGAACTATATATACACATATATGTATATGTATATATACATACATATATATATATCCGTGTTTGATTCGACCCATCAACACATATACATACATATATATATAAATATTTTTATATATATATATACATATATATATGTGTGTATGTGTGTATGTATGTATGTATTTACATGTATATGTCTATCGAATCGATACATCAATTAGTTGACTTATCTATGTACTGACCATTATATACATATATCGAGTCGATCCATCAATCAGTCGATCCATCTATCTACCTATCGGGACAACCATCGGTGCAGCCTTCCGCTCATATCCCAAATATTCGACCTAGCTAGATACAAATTCACACATCTGCTATATGTGTACCGATCCATCTACCTATCTCCCTATTTATATATATGCAAATATATCTCCATGCATAAATATACATGTGTATATATATATCCACCGATATATATATATATATTACTAGAACCATCGCGCGCGCTTCGCGCGCGCTCAAGTTCTAGCTACGCTCAACAGGCTAACGCATGCAATCTCAATTGTTGAGGCGCCTTGTGCATCTAACGACCTTCTTGGAATCCATGCGCAAGCCTCGGAAGCGTATAGAAGGGGAAATGCGGAAACCAAAAATTATAAACTTCCTTTAGGTGCTCGGTGAATTGGGACCTCGAAGGCTTCGGTGGTGGCGGGGGTGGCGGGGGCTTTAACGATGGTCTGATGTGCAATAATAAACAGAGGGTAAAGTTGAATTAGCCTGGCGAAGGACCCAACCATATGCAGTTGTGAACACCGCAGTTGTAGGTATTGTCTTCGGTGGAGCCCCCTTGTCGGGCCACGAAACGCTGTACTGGGTGGGGGAGGCGCATGCGGACTGCGCCACTGGAACCTTCGGTGGAGCCCCCTTGTAGGGCCACGAAACGCTGTAGTGGGTGGGGGAGACACATGCGGACTGCGCCACTGGAACCTTCGGCGGAGCTCCCCATGGGGCCACGAAACGCTGCATTGGTGGGGAAGGCGCATGCGGGCTACGCCACTGGGACCTTCGTCGGAGCTCCCTATAGGGCCACGAAGCGTTGTACTCGGTGGGTGAAACGCATGCGGGCTGAGCATCGGTGGAGCTCCCTATAGGGCCACCAAGCGCTGTACTGGGCGGGGGTAACGCACGCGGGCTGCGCCACTGGGACCTTCGGTGGAGCTCCCTATGGAGCCACGAACAGTGTACTGGGTGTGGGAGACGCATGCGGGCTGCGCCACTGGGGCCTTCGGTGGAGCTCCCCTTGGGGCCACGAAGCGCTGTACTGAGTGTGGCGGACGCATGCGGGCACCCCCACTGGGGCCTTCAGTGGAGCTCCATAGAGCCCTCTCGGGCCATCCTGTGCGCCTCTGGCGCCGTCTTGGGGCCCTCTTGGGCTGTCTTGGGCCGTCTTCGAGGCCTCTGGGGCTGTCTTGGAGCGGACAATACAAACTCTTGGGCCGTCGTGGAGCGTCAGAAAATTGAAAAGGCGAGAACTTGGAAATCCTTCAAAAACTTCTTTGGAGAATCAATAAGTTGTGCCTCCCGGGGCTCCTTTGGAGGCATCTTGGAGGTTTCTGGGGGCGTCTTGGAAGCATCTTGGATAGTCAGGGGCTAATTCTGGCCGCCTTGGCCGTCTTGGCCGCCATTGGTCGTTACCGCGGTCTGGAAGCGCCATGTTTGGCGATCCGGAGGCCGTTTTCGGGCGACCTTAGGGATGCCCCGGCGCCCGGTCAGAACCCCCGGAGCCCCCCAGTCTCCCAATGGGGGCACATGTTTGGGGACCGCGGGCCTGTATCCATAGATATCTGTACACATACAAACGTAAATACATACATACATACATACATACATACATACATACATGCATGCATACATACATACATGCATACATACGTACATGCGTACATGCATGCATGCATGCATGCACGCACGCATGCATGCATGCATACATACATGCCTATAGACAGGTAGACACACCTACATATATACATACATACATGCATACGTACAAACACACATAACCGCATGCCGATGATAATAAAGGGACCCCCCCCTTCAGTGTTTAGAGTTGATTATCGTCGCCCTATACAAAATTCAAATTGGGCGGCGAGCGCTGAGGCCGAACTTCATTATCACCTCGAAACGCTATGTTGAGATAGCAACATCAAGCGATGTTGATATAGCAACATCAAGCGAAGCGATCACACTTTTTCAGGATGTGTCAAGCGAAACCAATAATTTTGGGAGGCAGACTCAAACGAAACGAGCAATGTTCTTATTATTATTATACTTTCCTCTTCTTCTTTTATATTTCTATCTGTCCTCACGCTCGCCTGAACTTTTTTATCCCTGGGGTTGATTATCCATGGAAAATGAAGCACATGAGCTACCCTACACGAGCACTTAAAAAAATCAATGTTCATAAAGCGCTTGTAAATTAAAATTGATAGATTTGGAACTTTGGATGTTTCCTTTCTTCGTCCTCTTCTTATTATCCTCTTCTTCTTCTTTCTTATTATTCTTCTACTGTATTATTCTTCTTTTATATTTCTCTCTGTCCCCACGCTCGCCTGAACTTTTTTTTATCTCTGGGGTTGATTATCCATGGAAATTGAGGCACATGAGCTACCCTACACGAGCACTTACAAAAAACAATTTTCATGAGAGATAAGCCATTGTTGAGGATATTTCTATGAAAACTAAACGCCAAGGATGTCTCAAAACGTGCTCGGCTTGGTCTCCTCTTGATCATCTCTTACTTCGAGATTATGCTGAGGTCTGCTGGGCTACTTTTATTATCTCTCCCTGAACCCCGAACTTTATTATCCCCTAGTGTTTATTCTCACGGGCATGAGGTTATGTATATGTAGATATGCATATATACATGCATGCATGCATGCATGCATGCATAGAAGCATACATACATACATACATACATGCATAGACATAGATAAAGTGGGATACAACTAAACACTTAACATAAAACACATGAAACAGTAATTTGTAAATACATTCATGACTACATACAACAAAGAATACGTACGTTGATACCTCTATACATAGCAGATGAATGAATACATGAACACATACACAAGAAATATACATCGAATCATAAACGAATACAAAAAGCAACAACATTCAAAATCGTACTGATAGACATCCATGCATATGCTTACAATACACCTGCGTTATGCATTATGTATGATATGGATACATTGTATAGTATATACCACGCAACCACATAAGCATATACAATTATATCTTCACAAACATGCACACAAGCATAAACACATACATCTACACATACATATACATACACAGATGCGTGTGCAGACGCCCCAGCCACGCTGGGACTAAACACGATGCCCACTGTAGATCATCCTTGCATGTAGGTGTGGGGTTTCAATGGACTGGCCATGGTCGTTTTGATGGAGCCCGTTTTCGTTGTTCGCGATAACGCCCGTGACCGGCCCCGCCCCCAACATCCCTCCCCCCCTTGGTCACGTCACGATTCGCGCCGGCGCCGTGTACGAATTAGCCATCGCAGCATATTTCCGGACGGCGCCGGCGCGAATCGTGACGTGGCCGCCCCCCCTTCCCCACCCTCTGCCACGCCCGTGATCGCCAGGGGACAAGGGGAAACGGTCTCATGGCATCAGCACAGGGAGAGGGGGAGATGCGAGGCGACTGGCGAGGCTGGTCAGCCCGAGTGGCAGCGCCACCTCTTCTGTGGTGCTTTGACCAGTGCACACGCCTGGGCCGCGCTCGGACGAAACCCGATCCCCACTGCAGATCCATTGCGATTGTGTGGCATAGGTGTCAGGATTGCCTATGGCATCCGCGAAGGCAGCAGCGAGGGCGAGATGGGAGGCGGTGGGCGCGGCTGGTCAGCCGGAATGGCAGCGCCACTTCTTCTGTGGGGCCTGTACCAATGCGCACGCTCGGGCCACGCTCGGACTAAGTATGGTTCCCACAAAACTGCTTGCTGATCGATGTGTGTATGTATCTATGTGCATATGTAGAACTACATAATCCAAGGTGGCCCCAAGATGGACACTTGGGCCCATCTTGGGGCCATCTTGGACCACCTTGGCGGCCTCCAGGGCTGTCTTCAGGCCATCCCAGGTCGTTTTGGAGCCGTCTTGGAAGCCTCTGGAGCGCTCTTTAATATATCATCGAAGCGTCTGGAATTCCTCATGGAAGCATCTGGAGAGTTCGTTCGGATCTCGTGGCAAGTCTTTCGGGGGCTTCCTCGAAGCAGTTCCGAAGCCTCATGGGGCCCGTTTCGGTGCCTGTTGAGGCCCGTTTTGGAGCCTCTTCGGGGTCTCTCGGAGGCATCTTGGGGGCCTTGGGGGCCTCCCAGAGGCTTGTGGTGGCCTCCCGGGGGCCTCTTGGGGCCGAGGGCTCGAATGGTCGGATCCCCCGTCTGGGCCCCTCTTTAGAAGTGTTTCGGGACCATCTTGGGCCGTCTTGGAGGCCTCTTGGGCCGTCTTGGGGCCCTGTTAGGCCATCTTGGGGCCGTCTTCGAGGCCTCTTCGGTCGTCTTGCAGCGTCGGGAAGCCGAAAAAGCGAGAACCCCAAAAACCTTCAACAACCATCGAAAAAAAACAACAGTTGTTGTCTATTTCTGTCCTCCTAGGAAGCCTCTTGGAGGTCCAGGCTGTTCTGGGAGCCTGTTGGACAGCCTAGGAGCGATCGTGGGGTCCTCTTGGGTTGTCCAGGAGCGTCGGGAAGCCGAAAACGCGAAGACCAAAAAAAACATAAGAACAAACCTTCAGAAACCAAGCATTTGTGCCTCTTTGAGCCCACTTGGGAAACCTCTTGGAAGCCTCTTGGGCCATCTTGGAGTCGTCTTGGATTCGTAGTGGGCCGTCTGGGGACTATCTTGAGCGTCGTGCAGCAAGCTTTGTGCATATCGGGGCTCTTTCGGACGATCTTGGGAGCCTGCTGGGGCTGCTTGGAAGTCTATTGGGCCATCTTGAGGCCCGTTGGCGGCCCCGGGGAGGCGGTATCAAAAAAGGGGCCCGGATGTTAGAGAGGTGGGCGGGGCCCTTCTTGGAGGACCCGGTACTCATCCATTATATATATGTATATATATATATATATACACATACACACACACACACATCTAAATATATATATATATATATATATAGATAGATGCCGTCTTGGGTTCATTTTGGGTCACGTCGGGGCCATCTGGGCCGTTTTCGAGCGCCTTGGGCCTCCCGCTCCCACTCTGTGGCCCATCTTGGGCCTGTCCTGGGGCCTCTTGGGCCGTCTGGGGCTCCTCCTGGGCAGTCTTCAGGCTCTCCGGGGCCGTCTCGGGGCTCTTTTGGGGGTGTTTTCGGCAGTCTTGGGGCGGTCTTGGGGGCGTCTTCGGCCGTCTTGGAGCATTGGAAGCTCGAGAACGCGAGGTAGCGACAAAGATATAAAAAACAATGCAAAGCAATGATTTGGGCCTCTTTGGGCTCTTTCGGGACGTCTCTCGGAGCTCTATTGGGGCCTCTTGGAGGGCTCTTGGGCTATGTATTGGCCGTGTTGGGCCCATCTCGGGTCACGTTGGGGCCATCTGGGCCGTCTTGGAGCGCCTTGGGACCTCCCGCTCTCGCTCTGGCGCCCAGCGTGGGCCTGCCCTGGGGCTCTCTTGGGCCGTCTGAGGCTCCTCTTGGGCAATTTTCGGGCTCCCTCGGGCCGTCTTGGGGCTCTGTTGGGCGGTCTTGGGGCAATCTTGGGGGCGTCGTCGGCCGTCGTGTAGCGTCGGAAGGTCGAAAGCACGAGACACCGAAAAACATTAAGAAAACAAATGGACATCAAGGATTTGGGCCTCTTCGGGCTCGCTCGTGACGCCTATCGGAGCTCTCTTAAGGCAACTTGGAGGCGTCTTAGGCTGTGTATTTGCGGTCTGGAGCCCATCTTGGGCCACGTTGGGGCTATATGGGCTGTCTAGGAGGGGCTGGTCGAAGTCCCCCGGGGGCTTCTGGGAGCGTCTTGGAACTCTCTGGAGCAATCTGGGGGCTCCACGGCCCCTCTGGGGTTCCCTGGGAGCGGTCTCGGAGGCCCTGGTCCCCCCATGCGCGCTCGGGGCCAGGGCCCGGGGCGCAAGATGTATTCATAGTCGCGGCTGTGATGCCAACTCCGAAGCGGCTGTCGTTGCTTCCGCCAACTTCAATAGAGATGGACGACCACCACCTCCGCAACAAGTGGCATGACAACACGGAACGGCCGATCAGGGAATATGTAAATGCGCCTGGTAGCTAGTTTTCCCAGATCACGCACGTTGGAAGCAGTGGCACCTCCTCCTCCTCCTCCTTCTTTTCCTCCTCTCAGTGCATTCCGCGGCGCCCGTTGTCAGAAGACCGTGGCGTATATGTTTTGGATGCGGTGTGCTTGCAAGGTTTCATGTGCAATGCATTCAATGCTTTCTGGCTCTACAGCTCGATCGGTGTCGCTCTGTCCGGCCACATACTGAAAGCGATATCGATTGGCCTTCGGCCCTCAGCAATGCCTCTTGGAGAGCTTTTTGAGGGCTGCTGGGAGCTTCTGGGGACCCTCTCAAAAGCCGTTTGGTTCCTCTTGGGGGCTTTTGGGGTGCCTCTTGGGGCCTCTTGGGGGGAGTCTGGGGGGGGCCTATGGAAGGCTCTTGGGGCCATCTTGAGGCGGAAAGCTCGAAATTATTGTTGTGGTTCCCCCTCTGGGCACCCTGTTGGGGACCATTTGGGGGGCGTCTTGGGCCATCTTGGGGCCCTTCTGGGCGGTCTTGGGGGTCTCCTGGTCCGTCTCCGGGCCCTCTTTGGAGCCTCCTGGGAAGTCTTGGGACAACATTGGGGGTCTCTTGGGCCGTCTTGGAGGCTTGGAAGCCCGAACACGCGAGAACGCCAAAACCGTGCAAAAACCGACAGAGAATCAATTATTTTGGCCCCCTGGGGCTCTTTTCGAGGTCCCCTTGGGGCTTCTTGGGGGCCTCTCGGGGCTCTTCTGGGGCCTCTTTGGGACGCGTCGGAGGCCTCTGGGGCGCTCTTGGGGTCATCTTCAGGCGAATAGCTCGAAATGACCGTTCGGGTTCTCCTTCTGGGCTCCCTTGGGCCGCTTGGGGACAATGTTGACAATGTTTGAAGTATCTTGGAGCCCTCTGGGCTACCCGGATCCCCGGGTCCCCCCACGGAGGAGGTTGGGTCTACGCCCTGGGGGCCTCTCCCCTGTTACCCCGGGATATACATATATATATATATAGAGAGAGAGAGAGAGAGAGAGATGTGTGTGTGTGTCCGTGTAAAGGTCTATACCCATACATATATATGTACATACATCTCTCGATCTATCTATATATATATAAACATACGTATATATATATATATATATAGATCGAACAATCGATATGTATATGTATATATATATGTATATCGATATCTCTATATATCTACCTGGTGGTGTCGGTGATTGTGAGTGGTCGTGGTGGTGATGGCGGTGATGGTGCTGGTCATGGCGGGATGGTGTGGTGGCGGTGGCCATGTGACACGATTGTTTTTGGTACATGTTGGTGCCATCAGAGTACCCGGTAGCGATCGTGCTGGTAAGGCGGCAGCGATGCTGACAATGACGCCAGACTCTGCCAGCGACAGGTAGTGATGATGCCGGCGGTGTTGCTGATGGCGAGGCGGTGGCAGTGGCGGTGGCGCTGGCGGGCAGGATCTTCTATCCCTCTATCGTTCTATCTATCGATGTATATATATAGATCGATCTATAGATCGATCGATATATTTATCTATCGATATCTATGAATATATGTATATATATATATAAATATTCAAACAAGTCTCGGCCGATTTATCTATCGATCGACCTCTCTATCGGGTCAACCGTCGGGACAACCATCGGGACAACCGTCGGGACAACCGTTGGGACACCCATCGGGACAACCATCGGGACAACCATCAGGACAACCATCGGGACAACCATCGGGACAAGCATCGGGACAACCATCGAGACAACCATCGGGACAACCATCGGGACTACCATCGGGACAACCATCGGGACAGCCATCGGGACAACCATCGGAACAACCATCGGGGCAACCATCGGGACAACCATCGGGACAACCATCGGGACAACCATCGGGACAACCATCGGGACAACCATCGGGACAGCCATCGGGACAACCATCGGGACAACCAGCGGGGCAACCATCAGGACAACCATCGGGACAACCATCGGGACAACCATCGGGACAACCATCGGGACAGTCATCGGAACAACCATCGGGACAACCATCGGGGCAACCATCGGGACAACCATCGGGACAACCATCGGGACAACCACTATCCATCGGGACAACCATCGGGACAACCATCGGGACAGCCATCGGGACAACAAATTGGGACAACCATCGGGACAACCATCGGGACAACCACGGGGCAACCATCGGGACAACCATCGGGACAACCATCGGGACAACCATCGGGACAACCGCGGGACAACCATCGGGACAACCATCGGGACAACCACGGGACAACCACGGGACAACCACGGGACAACCGCGGGACAACCGCGGGACACGCGCCCTCCCGGGGGAGGGGGGGGGGGCCGGCCCTTTGGGCTCCGTGTGGCCTCTAAAAGTGCAGGAACTCGCGAAGCTTCGCCTCGCCCGTACCCGCGACACGGCCCGAAACCAAAACCGATTTCCAGGTTAGGGTCACTTCCATTCACACCCCCCAACCTCCGATTGCTATTATTAGTTATACGAATTTTAGCACCATGATTATTCTCCCTGGTAGTCATAATATTAATGGTGTTTAAAATAATTATTATTATGGTTGTTATGTTATTCGCCTTCGTAATGTTATCATCCTTATTATTGTGCGTCTTGCGAGGCGAAACATGATTATAACAATGTGTATGTGTCTTCTTTCTACTCTTAATGATAAGAATAAGAATAAAAATAATAAAAATAGTGTTACTAATGTTCCTCGTATTCGTATATGATGGGTATCATTACTAATATTCGTGTTAGTACTACGAGCATGTTAGCGTTAATTTCCTCCGTCTTATTGTTAGTATTAGTATTCGCATTATTCTTGCCATTATTGTAACTAATATTATTCCTACTCCTCCTCCTCCTCCTCCTCCGCCTCCTCCTTCGCCAAAGGTTTGGAAAACAGTCAAGACCGGACTGTACATACGGCGGCCTAACCACAACCAGTGGTGCTAGACGCCTAGACGAAATAGGCCGCGTCGTCCTCGCCGCGGCGGTGCCCCCCCATGTCTCCTTCTCTCCTTCTCTCCCTATATGTGTTCCTCTCTCTCTCTCCATGCTTCCCTCTCTACCCCCCTCCCTCCCTTCCTTTCTTTGTTTGTTCTCGCTCTCTCTCTCTCTCTCTCTCTCTCTTCCTCTCCCTCTCTCTCTCTCTTTCTCTCTCTCCCTCTCTCTCTTTCTATCTCTTGCTCTCTCTCTCTCTCTCTCTCTCTCATTCTCTCTCGTTATCTCTCCCTGTCTCTTTTTCTCTATGTATCGTTCTCTCTCTCTCTCTCTCTCTTGCTATACCTCACGCTCTCTCTCTCTCTCTCTCCCTCTATATATATATATGTGTCTCTCTCTCTCTCTCCCTCTATCTCCCTCTCTATATATAGCACTTACATACATACATACATAAACGGTGGAGGTTTTCAATGAGGATACCTTCGATAAGGAACCCAGGGTGTCGCGATAGACGGGCGGCCAAACGTGGGCCACCCACCTCGCCTTCAAAAAATAAGGAATGCGCCAGGGTCTGGGCCCCAGGAAGATGTTCCTTATCCAATGCCGCCGCCGAACACATCGTCGGGGTTCTCCGGGCAGTCGGAGGGGGACGTTCTGCGATCTGAAGCCGTCGTTTGCCGTCGTGGCTGCGTGGAGGCCCGACTTGAAGCCACCCTGAAACAAGATGCGAGACCCGAAGGGCGCACCTCAATGGAAAACAGAAAAAGCGCACCGGTGGGGCGCCACTTATGATGGTTCTTCAGATGTGAGATCTCAACCAGCAGACCGGGTCTCCTGGGATGCAGAAACCCCTGTTGGCCTGCCAGACAAGGACACGTAGAGCTCCGCCATGATGGGCTCCAGCTCCTTCGAGACGAAGGAAGAGGGAGGGGCGAAAGAGGAGGAAGGAGGAGCAGAGATGAGGAGGAGGAGGAGAAGGGAAGAGGGAGGAGGAGGAGGAGGAGGAGGAGGAGGAGGAGGAGGAGGAGGAGGAGGAGGAGGAGGAGGAGGAGGAGGAGGAGAGAGGAGGGAGGAGAGAGGAGGGCGGAGGGCGGAGAGAGGAGGAAGATCGGATCAACTCGGCAGGAGGAAGCGTCAAGCTTCGCAGCGCCATTGTGGTGCCTCCATTATTGGAGGGATCGCAAGTGTAGAACTTGAAACTCAAAATGAACTGCGACAGTCTTTATCCCACCAAGGCCCCAACAATCCATCCTGGCCAGGGGTTCATGTGAGCCCCCCTTGAAGGAAATGCCACTCGATAAGGCGTCAGTTTGCTCATCGGTATTTGCGACGACACTGTCCGAACATAAAACAAACTTATCCTGGCGAAAGACCAACCATATGCAGTTGTGACTTCCGGAGTTGTGATTACTTCCTTCGGTCGAGCTGCCTAACCGCATGCGAACGCAGCCGCTGGGGCCTTCGGTGGAGCTCCCTATGGGGGCCACGAAACGTTCGAGGGGTGTGCCGAAATGGGGGTGGAACCGCGTGCGAACGCAGCCGCTGGGGCCTTCGGTGGAGCTCCATATTGGACCACGAAACGTTCGAGGGGTGTGCCAAAGTGGGAGCGGAATCGTACGCGAACGCAGCCGCCGGGGCCTGCGGCTGAGCTCCATATGGGGCCACAAAACGTGTGACGGGTGTGCCAAAATGGGAGCGGAATCGTACGCGAACGCAGCCACCGGGGCTTGCGGCTGAGCTCCCTATGGGGCCACAAAACGTGTGACGGGTGTGCCACAATGGGAGCGGAATCGTACGCGAACGCAGCCGCTGGGGCCTCCAGTGGAGCTCCCTATGGGGTCACGAAACGTGTGAAGGGTGTGCCGAAATGGGGGTGGAACTGTGTGCGAACGCAGCCGCTGGAGCCTGCGGCTGAGCTCCCCATGGGACCACGAAACGTATGAGGGCTGTGCCGAAATGGGGGTGGAACCGCCTGCGAACGCAGTCATTGGAGCATTCGGTGGAGCTCCCGTTGGGGCCACGAAACGTGTGATTGGTGTGCCGAAATGGGGGTGGAACCGCATGCGAACGCATCTACTGGGGCCTTCGGTGGAGCTCCTTATGGGTGCCACGAAACGTGCGAGGGTTGTGCCGAAATGAGGGGGACCACAAAACGTGTGAGGGGTGTGCCGAAATCGGGGAGGAACCGCATGCGAACGCAGCCACTGGGGCCTTCGATAGAGCCCCTTATGGGGCCACGAAACGTTCGAGGGGTGTGTCGAAATTTTGGTGGAACCGCATGCGAACGCAGCCACTGGGGCCTGCGGCTGAGCTCCCTGTGGGGCCACGAAACATGAGAGGGTCATGCCGACATGGTGGTTGGAACCGTATGAGAACGCAGCCGCTGGGGCCTTCGGTGGAGCTCCCTATGGGGCCACGAAACGTGTGAGAAGTGTGCCGAAATGGGGGTGGAACTGTATGCGAACGCAGCCGCTGGGGCCTTTGGTGGAGCGCCCTTATGGGGGCCACGAAACGTGTGAGGGGTGTACCGAAATGGGGGCGGAACCGCATGCGAACGCAGCCACTGTGGCAATCGACGGAGCTCACTATGGGGCCACGTGTGAGGGGTGTGCCGACATGGGGTGTGGAACTGTATGCGAACGCAGCCACTAGAGCCCTCGGTGGAGCTCCTGAAAATGAACTGCGACAGCCTTTCTATCCCATCAAGGCCCCAACAATCCACCCTGGCCAGGGGTTCATGTGAGCCCCCCTTGAAGGAAATGCCACTCGATAAGGCGTCAGTTTGAACATCGGCATTTGCGGCGACAATGTCAGAACAAAATACAAACTTATCCTGGCGAAGGACCAACCATATGCAGTTGTGGCTTCCGGAGTTGTGATTATTTCCTTCTGTCGAGCTGCCTGGCCGCATGCGATCGCAGCCGCTGGGGCCTTCGGTGGAGCTCCCTATGGGGGCCACGAAACGTTCGAGGGGTGTGCCTAAATGGGGGTGGAACCGCGTGCGAACGCAGCCGCTGGGGCCTTCGGTGGAGCTCCCTATGGGGGGCACGAAACGTGTGAGGGGTGTGCCGAAATGGGGGTGGAACTGTACGCGAACGCAGCCGCTGGAGCCTGCGGCTGAGCTCTCTATGGGGCCACAAAACGTGTAAGGGGGTGTGCCGAAATGGGGGTGGGGAGGAGGGAGGAGGGGGAGCAGGAAGGAAGAAGGAGGAAGGAGAACGCGGGTTGCTCTTTTCAAAACGAGGACCCAACACCACAGGATGGTCGGGAAAAACCAGCCCGTGTGCTCATTGCATTGGTTCCTCCACCCCAATGTGTTCCCAATGACCCCCTCCACCTTATCCCTTGCCGCAAACGCGGTCACTTCAACGTGGAGGTGTTGATTGGGGGGGCTCCGCAGGAGCGGGCCCTCAAGCAAAGGCCCCCGTGATGAAAGGGGGGGTGGAGGAGGAGGCCCATTGACGACAGAGGTGGGGGATGTCCTGCAAGCACAAGTGAGAGGGGCGCGATGCACCCACTTCCTGAGACGAACGGGGCCACTGCCATGGCTCAAGGGCCGAGCCCTTGATCGGAGCCACTTAGCTTCAGAAGTAGCTGCGATCGCCCCACACCCATTTTATCAGCCCCATGCCCGCACCGTGCATCGCGCGGCCAGGGTCCACTCGTCCCCTACACGGAGGAGGGCACAGGGTGCTACGCGAGGGAAGGCGCAGAGCGGGCAGCGATACAAGAAGCAGCGCGAATGTGCAGTGGTATGCCAGCAGTGACAAGAAGCAACCTGAAACCGGGCGCTGCAGACTGTTCCCAGGACAAGGGGAAGAGGCTGGCAAAAATGCGTTGGGATCACTGCAGCCTGAAGGCGGAGGAACAGGAGGGGAGAGTGGCAGCGTCGTCGTTTCGCTTACGAGTCCCCATCCGCCTAACCACCTTCGCTCTCGATACTCATCGGGAAGTCGCAGGCAGCTACCTCGCTACCTCGCGCATTGATCCGACATCCGAGAACTCGGACATGGCCGCAAGGGCAGCGCGGCCCTGCTCGTCGCCGATGCTGGCAAGGGGCTCAGCAATATAACTCCCGTCTCTGCGTTCCGATGGTGCGCCGCTGGAGAACTGGTGCCCCTCTGGGCCACTGAGATGTAAAAAGATGCTGAAGGCGAGGGCCCCGGGCGCGCAAGAAACCCCCCATGGGGCCGAAGCACAGACGAACGCCGATCCAAAGCTGGCGGGCGCTGGCGCGCGACGGGGCTGTCAGGCTTCGCTAAGCCAAATGTTGTGGACGCCGATCGTGCCGAACGTAGCTATACGAGCAAAATCGTCGCCAACCCCTGGACGACGATGGCAACAAAAGAAAGGGAGCGCACAGCAGCCCTGGCTATAGAATCCCCATGTCCCTGCCCCTGCAGGAGCCAACTCGCATTCAAAATCCCTCGGTGCGAGCTACCTCGACGGGGCGAGGGAGGCCCATCGAGGCCCCTTCAACACGGTCCCGGCGGCAGCGCTGGCATGGGGCGCGCGATGCCATAGAACTCGGGTGCCCTCTCGCCTCCTCCTGCCGCCTGGGTTTCGGGGCCGACGACGGCGCTGGCCTCGCCAGCCGGTCCCAGTGAGCTCGGGGCAGGGCTGGTCGGGCTCAGTGGAGCCTGCTTGGTTTCGGCTTGGGCCAGCGACACCAGCGGTGCCATGTGGCGCACAAAAGCCCCAAAGTCTGCGTGCAGATTGGACCGCGTAGGTTCCTTGCTCGAGCCAGTGGCATTGCTGAGCGTGGGTGCCTGGCTGCTGGCCACGCAGCTGACAATGGTTCCGAGCTGTTTGACAATGTCGGTTGGCTTGTGTCGGTCGTCCCCCAGGTCTCAGAACCTCGCGTCCGCTTGGTCGGAGATACCTGAACCACCTGGCTTTCGCAGCACATCTTCGCCGGGGAGGTCATCGTAGCCCGTACCCTCCTGCTGTTCGGTCACCGACAGCGGTGGAATTCTGGGGACTTCGACATCGGCGACTTCCTCTGCCACGTCGCAGCCGTCTGATGATTTTAGGCGGATGGGGGCTCTGGTCAGGTTTGACGTTGGACTCTTCCTCGGTGCCGCGGGCACCGAGGAAGAGATCCCCCCCTCGAGAGCCCCAGCACTCCTGTGGAGGGTCGCGAAAGCGAGCCCGGCGCCCGAAGGCCCAAATCTCGAGTGTAGTGGATCGACTACAGAATTTGTTTACCCCGAAATTTGTTGTTTGTCGAGTCAATGGAAAAATTCGACGTGTTTTTGTTGTTGATTTGACGAGGGCACTGCGCGGTTGTCTCCCCGGCGGTTAAGGTGCTCAGGGGCAGTGTCGCTGTTAGGTTCCGCTGTGCTTCTTGCAGCGTCTGGAGAGGAACGACCCGGCAGCCGCACGGCCCAACAGGGATGGGGATGCGTTTGCCCGTTCCCCCAGCGGACGATCGTTACTACTAGCCCTTTTGGGCAGTCAGCTTTTACACGACTCGGCGCCTCGATCCTTACGATAGTCCAGGGACTAGCTGAACCTTGGACGCGGACCGCTGCATTCAGTGGGGGGCTGGCCACTCTGACCATGGCGAAATCGTTGGCGGCGCGCACAAGGGGGTGGAGGGAGGGGGGAGGGCTTCTTAGAAGGAGGCTGCTTCTTAGAAGGCGCCGGCCTTACATCTATAGAGAAGGCCCGCGCCTTCTAACAAGCAGGGGTGCTTCTAAGAACCCCTCCCCCCTCCCCCCGCCGCCCTCTGCGCGTGGCTGAAATCGCCTCTAGCCATTCTGTCCCACCCAGCGCGTTGGACTTCACCGCGCCACTCGATGGACGAGAGGACCTTGGCCATCTGCGTCTTGTCGGCGCTCTGCGGCTCGATCCCTGTGGCGGGGCACTCTGCGTCTGCACGCGCGGCGTGAGCTCCCCGTAGT